TGAGTTCAACGGACACGTTGGAGGTATGGCCCACAGACTATGGGAACTGTAAGATCTGGGCATGACACAGATGGTATGGAATTAGGGGTGGATAATGTCCTGGTTTCGTCAGGCATGGGGTTAATCTCCCCAGGAGCCGGCAGGGAGCAGGTATTCCATACCACGTGACCCATGCCCGAGCTATAAGAGGAGCTAGCCGGGGCGCGAGGAGAGGAGTTGCCACTCGGGGGTGGGCTGCGGCGGTGCGGGTCCGGTCGGTGCGCTTCGCGGCGGTACTGTAATCGCGTTTTCGTCTTTTCCTTTTGCTGTTCTGTTAAATTGCACTCTTTTAACCCACGAGTTTGGCCCTGTCATTTTCTTTTTCCACGACTGTGGGAGTTGTGCGAGTGGCTGCGTGGTTCTTTGTTGCTGGCTGAGGCCAAACCACGACAGCATTTAGAGCAGGGAACATATTTTATTATATATTTGGACAGAGCCCAGAAAAATAGGGCCTAATTTGGTTGTGGCTTTTAGGTGTGTCTGCAATATAAATGTTGTTATTATAATAATAAAGCATTATAGTATTGTAACATATTACCCTCTCCTTAGCGTGTGGTGAAGAGAAATACATATTTGGAAAGAACTTGTTTTCTGGGTTTTTTTTGCTATCAGTAACCATTAATTTACAGTAACCTTTGAAGCTGCAGATTATAGATTACAATTCTCTGTTGTTTAAAGGTACAGTTTACCTTTGTAAAACAATACCAATTCTCTCATTTCCCTCTAAAATCTAATGGTGGAGCAAGATACTGATGACTGGACAAGATGTTTTGTAGAGAGCAAACTGATCAAAGTCTCTGGCAAATGGATGCAGCAATAGCATCTTAAAGCATCTTGTTCACTGTAGTCTCATGGTTTAAAAAATATAAATTGAGGTACATTGCTCCTTGTTCTTGACAAGGAGTGATGGTTCCAAAATAAATCTAGACTATTGATTTAAGAGTAGGGCTCCTAGCATTTTCTATTACTCTAATAAAAGGTAACATTTTTGGTAGAATGTGAAGGTCTCTTGTCCTGGTTTCAGCTCGGAAAGAGTTAATTTTCTTTCTAGTGATTGCTGTGAAAGGAATGTCAATAATATCTATTGGTTTTAGTTGATGCTAAGTGATATTTACACTATTCAAGAACTTTTTTCAGCTTCCCATAGAAGTACAGACAGAATGAATGGCCAATGAAATATTCCATACCATAGATGTCATGCTCAGGGGGGTTAGTCGGGGGGCAGGAATCCGTGATCGCTGCTCAGGATCGTGTCAATTCACCGGGTGGTGAGAGTGACCCATGTCATTATTATTATTATTGTAATTTTTCCTTTTCTGTTGTTTCTGTTTTCCTTTTCTGTTTCCTTTTCTGTTTCTATTAAACTGTTTTTATCTCAACCCACCGGGGTTTTTTCCTCCCTTTCCCCTCTTTTTTTCCCTCTTTCCCCCCACCCTTCTTGGGGGGCGAAAAGGATGCAGGGGTGAGCGAACAGCTGTGTGGTTCTAGTTGCCGGCTGGGGTTAAACCACAACATCTCTCTATTTTCATTGGCTAAGACTAAGACCTCTATTTTTTTTTAAGTGATCCCTTCAATGAATTTATTTGACATGGTTTACCAATATTTCCAAACTCAGCCTGGAAAAGCCATCAGAATGATGCTAGGTTATGGGTCCTGAATGAAGCCATCAGCATGGATTAATAAACTGTGACAGCTGCCCAAAAGCTTTCATTCTTTTTATTTAAACATCAGATTGCAAGTCAAAATGCATTGTAATCTTTGTTAAAACTAGCCCAGCTAGCATGGCAAGAGTCAGAACAGACAACAGATAACAGTAGTCATTGTTAGGAAAAAAATCCAATCTGGAGCAGTAAATCTTAAGGACAGATGCAGCTACTCTTGGAGAGATACTGGAGATGGTTTAATGTAATAAATTCTCTTCACTTTGTAAAAACCTGCATAAAATGTATAATCTTGAACAAAGGTATATGGAATTCACTTTTTTCCCCAGTACATATCCTGTAAATTAATAATTAAAGTATTTTTCTCTCCTCTTTAAGATCTGTATAGATTTTGAGATTTTGCCTTGTAATTGAGAAACACTCTTTTACTATTCTTCTTAATCTAAAACTCATTTTCAAAACTTTGTCTGAAACTACTGATGTATACAGTCAATATTTTAAAATCAAAATTCAAATGTTTAGACAGATACAGTAGCACTAGACTTATCCATAGCAACACTGACTTTCTGTAATTTTCTGTTAGGTAGGAAAGTTTATCAGACTGCATAGCAAAATCCTTTCAGGCTAAGCAGTTATGCAAGTATAATTGAATATGAAAGAAATAATTCAAAGTCAAAATAGACTAGTCACTGGGAAATATTGGCTTTTAGAAAAGCCATTTATTAAGGCAACTTTTTTTCTATATGCTTGTATGATTCAGCTTATATCTGAAAGAATAAAGTTTTATCTTCTATACAAAATAACAGAGTTTAGGCTCTAGATCTATGTTACACATTTTCAGAGTCCATAACAGACCTAGAGTTTAACAGTCCTTTATGGAAAAGGGCTACAAAATTTAATAAAGATAAAACTAATATAGTTTTTACAGAAATTACTCAAAAAATATACAGAGAGTACGTAACAGGATTATTTTTTTTTTGATCTAGGCTATAGAATTTTATAGCAAGGATAAATGTTTTAATAAATTACATATATAAAATAATTGTTAAATAAATTCTGTAGGACACTCCATTAGGATGCAAATGTATTCTGAACTCATAACTTTCTTTTTGAACTCTTACAGTTGCTCATAAGGACTTTAATTTTCTAGTTCTTTCTTCCTGTAGTCTTCAAACAATAAATTATTTGTACTCACCCCCTTTTCAATGCTCCCTGTTTGGCAAAGAGTACCTTCAGCTGCTGGAATGCTGTTGGTAACACAGCGGTTACTTTTGCTGAGGCACCAGAGCTCTCTACACACTTCCTAGGAAAGAAGGCAGAAGTAAGTTGATCAGAATCACAGCCTAAAATTGCTTCCAGTCCTCATACACAAACGTATACACAAATTTGTTTTGAACAGAGACTATAAGAATTGGGCTGGAGAGATAAATCTATAGATGGTTGTGAAATACTCTGGAGCAATTTCAAAGGCACCATATTTTACCTAAGAATATACTGCAAAAAAAATCTGGAAGCATCAAATTGTCAATGACAAGAATATTTTCTATTTTTAAGTATTTTTGAAAATTGAAAAGATACTCAGACTTTTAAAATGATCTTATGATAGTAATTACTATTGCATTTTATTTAACAGCTGCTTGAAATCATACCCTACAAATAATTCTTGCATAGATTCTATGGCTGAACCTTGGTACAAAGAGCAAAAAGGAAAAGATAGTGAGAGTAAATAAAATTCATTAGGTCACCCCCAAAAATAATTCATTATTTCTCTGAGGAAATAAATATCTGGCACCTAGGCTATCTTTTCTATACATCTCAACAGGAACAGCTGTTAAGTTTTATGCTAAGATTAATGTTTCTTGATTATACTGCATATAGAAATGGATTTATTTATACAGTATTCACTAGCAGCTGCAGTAACAGTTCAACAATACAAACTTTTCTTGAATAATGCAAAATTATTTTCCAAGTTTAAAATAGGCTGGTGCCATTATGCAGGACTGATATTTACAGTGTATTTAGTTTCATGATTGGTAGAAACAAAATATCTTTTTAAAAATCCATTAAAAACATGCCATATTAGAATGGTCTGAAATGATGAGGCATGAGTACTGATGATTTCTGGACTTTGCATCTCATTTTTGAAAATTAGGTCTAAGCTATTTCATTATATTACTATGTACCAACTCCCATTTGGTGGGTGGCTCTATGAAACCTTGAGCAAGTCATGAAATAAACAGACATTCTTGAGCTACTTTTTAGGACAAATATTGCCACTTGTAAAAGCATACTTACAGCAAACCTTATTTTTCAAATTCAAATTTTTCATTGAAGAAATGCAAACAGTATAAATATTTACTTACTTAAATCTCTGAATAAAACACTTGCTTTTGCCACTAAACTGATAACATTTTCAGATTAAGATACACATTCACAAATAAACATATGGTTTAAAATATCAAACAGAACATACATCACAAAGATTCTTGAAAAATCTCTTTAACTAGATTACATATTTCACAATCATTGCTGTTAAAATCCAACACTAAATCAAATTCACATCAAAATCAACCATGAATCCAAACTTCAATCCAGTATTGATTTTAAAGTGAAAACCTAAAATTGGTTCCTTTCAGACACAGTATGAGGTGCTTCTATCATAACCTTGCCTTATAGACTTTTTCATCTAATTTACTTGCTCGTTTTGTTGAGCAAAATTAGTTTAATTTATTTGTTTACATTTCATGTGTGAAATGTAATTTCATTGGGACCAGTACTGTTCAATATCTTCATCAGTGACGTAGACAGTGTTATCGAGTGCGCCCTCAGCAAGTTTACTGATGACACCAAGCTGAGTGTTGCAGTTGACACGCCTGAGGGACGGGATGCCATCCAGAGGGACCTGGGCAAGCTCAAGAAGGAGGCCCGTGTGAACTTCATGAGGCTCAATAAGGCCAAGTGCAGGGTCCTGCACTTGGCTCGGGGCAACCCCTGGTATCAATACAGGCTGGGGGATGAAGGGATTGAGAGCAGCCCTGCCGAGAAGGACTTGGGGGTACTGGTGGATGGAAAGCTGCACATGAGCCAGTAATGTGCGCTTGCAGCCCAGAAAGCCAACCGTATCCTGGGCTGCATCAAAAGAAGCATGACCAGCAGGTTGAGGGAGGTGATTCTGCTCCTCTATTCTGCTAAGGTGAGACCCCACCTGAAGTACTGTGTCCAGCTCTGGAGCCCTCAGCACAGGAAAGACATGGACCTGTTGGAGTGGGTCCAGAGGAGGGCCACAAAAATGATCAGAGGGATGGAACACCTCTCCTATGAAGACAGGCTGAGAGAGCTGGGGTTGTTCAGCCTGGAGAAGAGAAAGCTCTGGAGAGACCTTATTGCAGCCTTTCAGTACTTAAAGGGGGCCTACAGGAAAGATGGGGACAGACTTTTTAGCATGGCCTGTTGCGATAGGACAAGGGGTAATGGTTTTAAACTAAAAGAGGGAAGATTTAGACTAGATATAAGGAAGAATTTTTTTACGATGAGGGTGGTGAAACACTGGAACAGGTTGCCCAGAGAGGTGGTAGATGCCCCATCCCTGGAAACATTCAAGGTCAGGTTGGATGGAGCTCTGAGCAACCTGATCTAGTTGATGATGTCCCTGCTCATTGCAGGGGAGGTTGGACTAGATGATCTTTAAAGGTCCCTTACAAACCCAAACTGTTCTTTAAATCTATGAAAAGTGTCAGACTGTGATGATTATGCTTCTGACTATGCTTATTTTGCATCTGATCAAGTTCATATGTTTAAATTAATAGTTGTGCTGATTTTGTGAAGTTTGGTTCAGTGTTCTGAAAAGCCAAAAATTCAACTGCATTAAGAAACAAAGATTTCAACTATTCCAATATAGAGAGAAGCAAGAAATCAGATCTGGATAACAGTCTGGAATTTGAAAACATCTATATTTCATGGTGATTTGAATCCAGAATTCTGGTTTGTGCTCCAGGGCTTACTTGCAGAATTTCACTTTTGATATGCCTACACAAGTACACCATCTATAAACATAAAAGGGGAAGTAATAATTAAAACATTTCATTGCCAGTCTAACGTATCCACAAATGAGAGTATTTAACAATTTACTTCCAATAGGAAATACATTCTTTCTGTATGTTCAGGCTTCATTGTGGCACTAGACTCCTCCAAATTCACTGAACTAACATCTCCCAGACATCATAATTCCAATCAAATAATCAGCTGAACTGTGTGAATTAATGGATACAGCAGTCCAAATCTATTTTAGTCATTCATCTGCTTGCAGGATGATACTAAGCACGTCAGATCACCTCCATACTCCATAAAATGAGAAAAATAGTTTCCTTCTTCCTAAATTGCTTTGGGAGATGAAAAAGCACTACATCAAAAATAGATATTATGACTGATATAGTCTGGTAGTCCTTATTCAGACCTTAATCTCAGCAGGAGTTCGCTTCAGTAAATCCATAAAGACAAAACGAAAGGAATGTAAAATTACTATGGGCTGTATCATACTATTAATATTTGAGCAAAAAACTCTGCTTAAATCAGAAAGGAGTTCTGAGACAGACATACGATATCCCAAAATCAACAGAATATTTCCTTATGGAAAACTATGCGAAACAGAGAACTTATTAACGAAAATAACACAATGTAGAAATAATTTTTATTAAAACCAAGAAGTGAATGTATTTTTGTAAATTCCTTTAAACATAGCCACACTTATTTTAAAAGTTTATTTTCCCCTGCTGCTTTGCATTTAAAAGAGTAGAATTTGAAGTACATTCTCCATCAGCCTGTACATGAAATGAAAAATAGCATTAATAGTCATTTGAAAACAAATAAGTTATCTAAAAAGAAGTGGAAAATCCATCTCTGCTCTTATTTCATTAAATGAAAATGGAATTATACCAGATGGCTATGTCTTCTTTAGTTTCAGCTGATTTTGGAAAATTAACACAGAAATTCTTCTAAGGTGCATAAAGCTTTCTATTCTCCAGCTCAACCCTATACCTGGTGCTACCTTAGTTTCAGTTATTGATTTGAGATGTTTCCTTATTAACACCATCCTATCAGTAACATCTCTAAGCAGCTGTTTTTAATAAGCCAGCCTTTAAAACATATGAGGAACTGCCCTGGAAAGACAAGGCCCAAAATCACTAGTAGAAAGTATACTGCTTTTTGTCACACACTCACACACACTAACACACACACACACACACACACACACACACACACACACACACACACACACACACACACACGCATGCACACCCACACCCACACCCAAACATAAGGTGACCCTTTATGTTAGCCTTTTCTTCATTGGTGGACATCGGATGAAGCTAACATATCTTTTGCCAACATTAAATTTGTGTGAATAATTTACTGAAACTAAGAGAAAGAAGCATAATCTGAAAATAAATCAATGACCTCAAAGTCAGCCTCCAAGTGTGTGGATTTAATAATTATTAATTTGTAAAGCAGACAAGGGAAAGTGTTTTAAAAATCCAGGAAACATAAACTGAAGCTGAGGCCTTTCACAAGATCAAGACAAGATAGATGACAACCTGTAACGGTGTATCTTAGGGCTCCATGACTTCAGTTTGGAATTCGGATGCTTGTATTTGCAGTAAATTAAACAAAGCTGAACCCATCTAGAGAAAAAAAACAGCAAATCAAATTATCTTGCTTTTGCCTAAGTGTTATCAATGATGGAGCCTCTTTCTGTTGTGTCATGCAGAGTTACATATAGGCATTTCAAATTATGTAACATCTAAGCATCCTATATCATAATCATCATAAATGGTAACAATACAGCACGATGAAAACTCAGCAATATGAGCAAAGATCAAATTGCTGTGCTGTTCTTAATGTATTCAACACTAACAAAAGCCTCCAACAAAAGGTAGCAGTTTGGCCCATAATCAAAAAATAATAATAATACGGGAAATACATCCACAATGCATATTAAAGCATGATAATTTGGGAAACTTTGTCATAAAATTTTAAAATGTTAATTAGGATTTTATGTTACTTCAGCATGTTTCATCTATAATATGCTGCACCTCTTGATGAGCATTTGCTAAAATATAGCATAAAAACAACTAACTTGAATTGTAACTTACAATTCCGATCTGAAAAGCATTAACCTAGAGTATTTTCAGCCTCATTGCTGAAATCCTGATGGCAACATGATTAAAACTAGAAGGTTGATTATAATTATGGGTGAACTTCAGAAGGTTCAAAGTTTAGTTCAGATAAGCACCCAAAACTAACCAT